GGAGGGCGGGTGTCCGCACGGGACAGTCCCGGCGCCTGGGCCTGGGCCCCTCCGCCTGAAGGCACACAGGGCACCTCGAGCACACGGCACCACGTGACGCCCGCCTGCCCCTGAGAGAGCTCGCGCCAGCCCAAACAGGAGCCAGCCCAGACCCTCTTTAAACTAGCGCAGACACTGCACTGAAGCAAGAGTGGAAAAAACAGAACTTGTACCTGCTAATACTAGAATAAAATAGGCTTTCCTGCTGTCTTCTCTTGCACGTACGATGTGAAACGCTTCAAGAATTTCGGATATTCACGTTTTGCTACTGCCCGTAACACTGATGCGGGCGCCCATCCTCCTGGGTTCACTAGAAATAGATAGAAAGACAGACATTGAAATACAGCAAATCTGCTCAAGGCTAGGGAAAAAAAAAAAGTTTTTTAATCCTGCAACTCTTTCTCAAGTAACAGGAAAAAATAATGACCAACAGATTTTTTTTTTTTTAAATGCCCTCACAGCTTGTATCGTAGCACTTCCTACTCTTAATGCTCAAGCTCAGTCCCGTTATATGATGCCACTATTTAGAAAACATTGAGCATGGTGTGTTTTGAGTCTCTGGGGAATGCCCAAATGGAAAATGATATTCTCTAAGCACTTCCAAGAAACAACAGAAAAAGAAGGTTGAATTACTTATTTCAAAGAAAACAGACATCAGTCTTAACTTTTCAATAACTGCTGCATTTGTCTGAAGAATTGCTACATCACCAACATCTTACAAATTATATTTAAAGCCTTTTAAACAAAATTTTAACTGGTTCTGAAATACACTTCAAGTGTATTTCAAGTGCATATACAAGGGCAAGTATTTTGCTGAAAAAGCTGTCACTTGCCATATGATTGTAACTCAGGATTTATCAATGAAATTGTATTTTTTTCAGTAATTGGGAAACTTCTAAAAAGGAAGCATGGCAGCTTACACCAGAGTTTAGCATCATATAGTATTATTCGTACAGGATTTAATACAAACTACATCACTTCTATATGCAAAGTTTTACAGAACCAATTTTTCAGGCTGACTCTTTAGTAAGCCATATAATGGGGGGTTAAAAGTAACACACAGGCAAGCTACTTTTGAAGTGTTTTGTAGCTGCAGGAGAGGAGCTAATAAGTATTGTAGCTCCAACAGTACAAACACTGCTAAATACTGGGTACAGTAATAATACAGCTTGGCTTTCATAACTTTTCAGTCAACCAAGGAGTCTGTCAATCAAATAAAAATAATTGAAAAAGTAGACTAGATTGCAAACATCCTCATACAAATGCATTTGCTCCTTAACACAGCAGCTTTCAGCCTAACAAGATCAATCAGGGAAAAAAAAAATCACAGCAATACATGAAAAAAACCATACGATTACTGAAACAAAAAGCTATGCCAAGTCACCCCAGTATCAGACATTCTTCTGCTGATCCTCCACCACCCCATGCCTCTGTACTTAGACTGAGCTACAAACCACTTCCATTTATTTCTCCCAGAATGCTGCACAATGAATGATTCCATTCACTGATTCATGTAGCACATTAATTCAAGTCTATTTGAACACGAAGCCCACCAGTGTGATGCCCTATGTAATAGAAAACTTTTTTTTTTTTTTACCAGTATCCAGCTCCCCAGAATTAGCATACATCATTAATGTCATACTGAAAAAAATTCAGACTTACCATTAGCTACATATGTAATCTTGCATAGGATGTTGTCCCTACTTATTTCTTTGTTCCCCTCTGGTGGGCTTACTAACGTCTGACAAATCATAGCAATATTTATTTTGGCACGGACACAGCGATTGTTCAGCTGCCAAAAAAATGAAACATTTGTAAGCCTCGAGCCACATTTGTTCAGCATACTCAACTAGTAACATTTTAATTTAGTATGAAGTCTGAGACACTCCAGAAGCTGTGTTTCTGAGAGTTCGTATTTGACCACTACATGGGTGTAACATGAATGTTAGAGAAATGAAAGGTACATGGTGAATAGGGAAAGGATTACACTAAAGTTCTTGAATCTCAGGTTTCTGCTTGCTTAACAACACATGTAACAAGTGAATTACTTCCATCACTACGACAAATGAGTAAAGAAACATTTAAGGAATGTTTATCGATATTTACAAATACCAGTTAGTAACTTTTAGTAAGTAGGCTACTGCATAGCAATCAGTACAGAGATACTCCAAAGAAAACAATCATTTCTACTGCCTGACAGAAGCAAGGCAGAACTGTGTAGAATGGAGGTTTAACACATTCTGCATGTATAATTATATAAGCCTACTCCTGTATCTGACAATAGTGAAAAGTTATTGATTTGCTTTCATACAAAAATAATCTCAATTCTTTATTTTCCCAACTCCAAAATTTTGCTTCTATTCTGCTGCAGCACCTTAGAACTGCCAACCATTATGATAAGGCAAGAAAGCTTTTGGCTCAGATTGCCTTCATCAGGTCACGGTATCACCTGGCTTAAGGAAGCTGTATTTTTGCATAATTCCACCACCTCCCTCACACTAGTATTGCACGTGCACTACCACGTAACAGAAAAATGTTTTCTTAAAAGCAGAACTTGACAGAATGAAAATAATACTTACAGGAGCACTGTCATGTTCTACAGAGAAATTGCACACAATCCATGTCTCTGGGTCATTTTCACTGAATGCTGGTATCTTTCTGATGGCAGACAAATAAAGCACATCCCTCTGAGAAGCTGGCCAAACCCTCTGCGGAGAAACACCTGAATATAAGCTTTTCCAGTTTTGCAAATTAATTACTTCCTATCCTTAGATAAAGGAAAAAACAAGCAAGGCAAACCACATCAGTGGTTACTTATTTAAGTAAAAGTTTCTTCAAGTTTTCACTTTCACAACTGAAACAGAACATAGCTGTTGTACACATGTGTATCAGGTTATATGGCTGCACTTCATTTAAAAAAAAATTTAAAGCACAAGTTTAAGACCTTGAAATGTAGAAAGCCAAGCTGCAATGACTTTTTTAGTAGTGAAACAGGACAGGAAGAGGCAGTTCCCTCTTGTTCCCTCAACCTCAGGTTTACATTATAATTAATACTTGTAAGCTACAAACCGAGCTAGTCATCAAGTATACATAGATGCATCTACAATTAACTTTGTCTCCATAGAGGGGGACAGAGACAGAGAGAGAAGTATTAAAACAAGTATTATTTCAAAAAGGTACTATTTCAGTAGACAGACAAGTTTCAGAAACAAAATGTCTGATGAAATAAGAAGATATTCAAAAGCCATTTTCCTGACACCCAAAAGGAAAAGAAGCTAGCTTTTATCATAACACTCTACAGTTCACATGATTGTCTTACTCAAAACCACGAGTCCTCTCTTACAGAAATTTTAAGGTGACCACATGACTAGTAAAATCGCCAAAGAAAAATACTTGAGTACGCTAATATTTGGAATCATCCAAGATTAAAGATGCATCCCTACAGTCCACTCCCATTTTTTTTGAACCTTTAAGTTACAGCTGTTTGGTTATGATTCAAATGAACATTTTAATAAATTTACACCAGAACTGATGGCCAGGGGAAAAAAAACATAGTGAAATGACAAGACGCAATGTTGTACTATCAGTTGTACCTCATAATGCAAATGTGTATGTCAACTAACTGTGGTCAACAATAGCTTGCATTATTGCAAGAAGACAGACAATACATGGGTCTAGGTCTCTTTCTTGTAGTCAGTGTCCATTTATACTGCTACTCTTTGCTTCAGATGACTCTTGGCCTTGCCGGTTTAGAGATTAAAAACAGTCTTCATTTGTTATTACAAGCTCTATCAGAAACACACACAACCAATTATGCTCTCGAGACAAGTTTGAAAAATTGACAATGTTGCAGTTCAATAGAGAACTTGGTTCTGAAATGTTATTCTGAACAGTGTTTTAAATTGTTAATCCGTTAAAGTATACAGAATAAGATTGGAACACACGTGCCTCACACTGTCTCAGTAAGGTATGCATACGGCTGAAGTGTTATTACCTTATGTGTCTGGTAAATGATGATTGCATTATCAGCTAAATTTTCCACAACATGGAAATTTTCAATTGTTGCTAAAAGAGAAGGGGAAAAAAAAAAATCCATCAGTAAAAATGCACAGGTATTAGGTCAATGTTATAAAAAATATCCTTGCTGAAAAATAGACGAAGTTTAAGAATCAGGTCCTTACTTTCCCAGTCATTACGAACATCAACATTCCAGAAGTAGTGGCAAACTTCGTGACCTGTTACCCCTTTAACAGCATGGGTTGCTTTCAAAGGATCTAAAACTATGCCATTCTCTTCCACCTCTCTTCTGTATACCTGTAGTCAAACACATGGAAAGAAATAAAGAGCAGAAACTGTCAAAACTGTTCATTCTTTAATTGTTTAAAATTTCATACCTTTTTAAAAAACACAGCTAGAAAACTGATACATGAATACTTTGCCACGTCAGTGTTCCCTAGTAACTATCAATGCAGATATTCTTACATGGCAACTCACATTAAAATAGTACTACTTAAAAATCTCTACTCCAAAAATGATTAAGCTGCCTTATTTATCTCTATAGACAAGGACTGACACAAGCACAGTAGAGACGACAACACAGTAAATTGCTACTCTAACATTTTTGTACAATACATGTATAGATCATTTTAATACCAAGTTTTAAACAGGAGGGATGAGAAGGGAATCTGCAAAGACAAAGCTTTTGCAAGACTTACACAGGATTTTGTATGAGTAAACACACTGGAAGCCACAGCTCTTGTGGACTCCAGTCCTAACTTAATGTTATTCTGAGAGAAGTTTTAACAGTATAACTGTGGAGTGATAGTACTTCCAGACAACCATGCAATCATTTAGGTTGGAACAGACCCTTAAGATCATAGAGTTCAACAGTAAACCTAACATTGCTCAGTCCACCAGACTGAAGGTATCTGTAATCACAGCATATCATCTCACATCAATTAAACAAAACCCCAAATGTTTACCTTCATTTCTCCTTCTTCTACCACTAGCTGCCAATTGGCATCTCCTCCTACATCTTGCAAGGAGTATGTCATGTGGTTTTTTACCATCTCTTCCACCTTTAAACGAAAAAAAAAAAAAAAAAAAAAAAGGTGTTTTTAATTCATTCCTTCCATCTTCCTGAGTAGAGACTGTACTGGTACTGGAAGCCACAAGTCAAATCCTGGGAAGGACCTGAATTTGGGCAACAGAGCTTTCTATTACAGGTTAAGGAAAAGAAGATACTTCTGCCCTCCAGAAAAAAAAAGCCAAGATCTTGATTCAACTTCCAGCTTCATTCTTCCTGTACTTCCTATCCTTCCTTTGCACCTCTAAACTGTCACACTATGTCTACCTATGACACAGTTTTATTTCAGCATATAGGAACTTATTTCAGGTGTCTCTAAAAATAATTACGATACACCATATGATATTCACTGAAGTGTACTTAAAAAGATGAGGAAAGGTCGGGGGGATGGGGCAGAAGACAGACAAGCTCTAGAAGAGCAATTGCGTATCAAAAGTCATATTGCCCAGAACAGTGGAGGAAACATTAATAAGCAAAGCATCTTATTCTGTTTCATTAGCATCTTTGCACAATTGTTAGCTAGAAAACAGAAATGCTTACTTAAAAAAAAAATATGATACAGAGACTCTATTATAAAATACTAATTTAGAAATTATTTAGCTAGACAGTTGTGTGCTTTTTTTAAAGGCCAAATATTTGATACATTTATATAGGCTATGTGAATACATCATTTTTAAAATATAATGTGCATGAAAATAGGTGCTGGTGTAGGAAATGGATTTTTATTTTAAATGTACAACCTCATTCTATTTCTTTGGTTCCCTACTCTCTTCCAAATCCCACTCCCCTCCAATAAAATAGAAGCAAAAAAATAATGTATCCACTGCTAGATAATGTAAGTACCAGAAACACTTTCATATCTTTTTTCCACCCAAAAGGTGGGTGACTACTAAAGACTGTCACAGCAAAAGCGAAATTTACCTGAATTACTAATGTATTTTTTTTCCAAAAATGAAATCATTACAAGCAAAGGTTAGTTTATTGACCAGCACAAGGATTAGTCTGAGTTCACAATCACAAGATTAACAGCCTGAACTCCTAAGTGGTTTTGCACCGCTTACAAAGTATGAAGCCTAGCGTGCATATATTATATAAAACGTACATTTTAGCAAGTACTATAAGTAGAAAGCATAATTAAAGAATACTTAATATTTTTCTGATACAATATAGAACTGAAAAATTTTATTTACTTATAATTTAAAGCAGTAATTTTGTTTGTGCTACATATTCCATGGGCAATACACCTAGGATCAGGAAGCAAAAAGGTAACTGAATCAAGTAAAAATCCTCAAAGTCCAACATAAAATCCATTAGATGGAAATCTCAGTTTACCTTAACTACAAATTTCTTTACAGAATGCAAAGCTATCAGTCCAGTTTTGGTAGTTTTCTTTTTTTGTTTGTTTGTTTAGGTTTTGAGTTAAAATGAAATAAAATTATCCACAAGATTTGTGTTTCTGCTTTGAGACAGGCCATCTCTTCCTGTGAGTTACTAGCAGGTTTCCAACTAAAGTTTTTTTTTCCCCCCCAGTGAAACAATGACAGTACAATACAAATCATGTAAGAAAGTAGGCTATTTAAATATTCAATTTACTAGCTCTAGGTCACACTTCTTTCAGAAAGGAACCCTTACCATGCTCCCAACATTTACCTGCAACACCTTCAGGTCCCTGGGTCTCTTGTCCCCTAGCTCCTAATCCACTAAGGACAAAGCTAGCTTTTACACATTTGCTTTCTCTTATGCTGCTTTATGCTACATGCAAAATGGAATAGCAAGCAAAGAAGAGAAAGAGGCACCCACAGGAGTGCAGTCTAAATGGTTTCTCACTTCTGCTTCAGCAAGGAATTGCAGTACCTACAACTGCCTTTTGTGTGCTACCTGTCCCAGCTGTATGTAATCCAGGCACTAGTTACTGCACTGGTCACTCTCACCCTGCACCTCTTTCAGAGGCAGAGAGTCAAGATTTACATCTTCTTTCCCACTGGAGATGCCTCACTATTACCTCTGTGTTTTTGCCAGGCTACAGGCAGGGTCTGCAAAAATACTTGTAACTTGTATGCTGTGCAGCCCTGCCCTCAACATTAAGTGGGAAGTTCTTAATTTTAAAGGCCCTCAGAACAGCTCCATCTGTTTTAAAAACTGATAGTCCTTTAAGAGAAAGTGGTCAGCAAAACATCCACAGTGTTTTAAGCCCACAGCCTCCCACTCACCTGGCAGAGACAAATTAATGGCTTTGTAGAGGCACACTGAAGAACCAGCTCCCACCAGAATGCATGTTTATACTACTCAACCTTAAAAAAAATGCTGAAAGTTTCTACTTGACCTTTTACTGATACCAAAATTCCCTTTGTATCAATGAAGGCTACAAAAAAGTCCCATTTCTTCAGAATCAAGATACTAGCTTGCCTTTCCAAAAGCAAAATCCTCGGCCTGGTAACAGAGTCCCATTTCATATTGATAAGATCCATAGCAGGCTACCAACAAAAGAGGGTATGTTGCTTTTTTCTTCATGCTCTCTGTTTCCTTTGTCTGCTTGTTCAGTAGCAATGAAGCCCCAGAGCAGGTGGTCTGATTCGTTAATCTGGAAAAAATTTGCTCTAGGGAAAATAGCTGGGGGCTGGGGATATATGTAGGGAGAGTAGTTTCCCATAAGTTAAGAAGATAATCCTTTCTGCAGTGAGTCCATTAACCTGAAACTGCATTCAAACGCACTCAGTAGTAACTTCAACAGAGTAACATTCATGCTGTACCTGAAAAGAGCAACAACTTGACTCTACTGTATTTGATCCTGGCCCTTAACCTGAATTTATGTTACTGTGATAAGGACCTGGTCCATGCCAAGTTTGGCTTTAAATGGTTAGGTTTTTAGCCACACTACTGCTCAAGTTTATCATATGAATGCACAAATGTTATCACAGGCACAGAAGAGGTGAAAATGAGGAGGCCTGCATATTTTAGCAACTATGAGTTTCCCTTACACTGAACAGCCCATGTACCCAGAGCCTGACAGACAACTGGTTCCCGCCTTAACTTGCTTTCTACTACTTAATTTCCACTCTCCTTCCAAACAAAAATGAACTTGAAAAACTAACTTTACTCTAGGAGGAAAGTAAAAAAGTAAATTCAGAGCTGAGCCTATCAATGCTGTACTATATGACCTGCATACTTCATCCCTTGGGGCAAGTTCAAATTTCAGAAATTAAGTGACTGCAAAAGGTCAAGGCAAGTGTTGGGATTGCAGTCCAACAAGTAAGTCCTTAAGTGTTAGGGTCCTGCTCACAAAACTGGTAGTAAGGTCTGCAGGTGGTACTGTTCCGTGCTTTGTTAAAAAAAAACCAAACATTTTTCTAACTGAAAAAGCAGTTTGCTTGCAGCACTAGTTAGTAATTTAAAAAAAGCTACAAACAGATCCCAGAAGGAAGCTCCATATTCACAATCACATATGGACCACAGCAGAGGGAAACTACTGGCCTGAATGCCATGTTTGAACAACTTATTTTGAGACTAAAAAGCAAACAAGTGAACTCATCTAATTCTACTCTAACCTGTACCTAGAGTAATTTTGTACATTACTGGCATATGTCACTATGACTACATTGACATATTCAGGATGTCAGACTGATTTTCTGAATGATAAGTGAATATATTGAAACTCTTCAGTAAAAATTCTCATACCCACAATCTTGTCTGCCAACTCTGTGACCTTTCAGTAATAAACGTCACTGCAGAGCTAAAAAATGGTAAAAGTGGCCTTTAGCATTTAGTATCATGATGTCATTGTGAACAAAAGTTAAAGACAAAAATCAAACCTTTGATTTAAAAGCAACAGAAACTATGAAATTTGAAGCAAAGACCATCTCCAACCCACACAAAACATGTTACCCTACTTTTATTATAATCTGAAATGCAAAATTTTCAAACTGTAGGCATTTTTATTAAAGCTACTGAATTAAATCCAAGAATTTCACAATATTTGGGCCTCTGCACAAGTGATATGCATGCAAGCTGGATGTAAAAAGGCAATCATTTAGTACAGGAATAGAGAACTCCTTTGTTTGTCTCGATGTTCTAGTTTAAAGCAAGCAGTGAGTTATGTAACAAAAAACCCAGGTTCTAGAGAAGAGGATGAAATACAGCAAAGATATGCAACCCCCACTCTACACATTAGTACAGTACCTGGGCGCTGAATCTGTGAACATCATCAGAGGCACTGACTAGATCAATGGAAGACATGGAGGAAGAGCGACTATAGGGCTACCAGAGACAGACAAAGAAAAAACCAAGTAATCAGAACAAAGGCACAACAGAGCATTCAGTACCAACTTGCAAGCACAAGATAATGAAGAAAAGGAAAACAAAAGCACCATAAGCAGCAAGCACAGCAGCGAATGCTGATTTCATGCACCTATTATGTATTATGCTCCCACTGTAGCCTTAAGAGGAACACAGTGTTTCCAGTAGCACACTAAAAAAAAAAAAAAGTCAGCTAATCCTGATACAAGCAACTGTTTTTTGTTTAGTGGTGTGGGTTTGGTTTTTTTTTGTGGTGGTTTTTGTTTTTTTTTGTAGATCAGTTCAATGAATTTTGGTGAAGCTATCTTAAAAACGCTGAGGTTAGCAAGTTGGGATTTCTCCTTCATTATCTAACTGACAAGCTTGATACAAGTCAAGAGCATTCTGAATAGACATTCAAATCAGTATTTTTCAAGCCAAGACAAGAAACAGTCCTCCTCTAACTCCAGCTACATAATTTGAAAATAAGTAAACCATTGGAAGTTACTAAAAACACCTTAAATAAAAATCTCACCTACCTATACAAAATACTACATAGAAAGACCACAGGTCAGCGCATTATTCAGAGGAGATCACGAGAAAAATCTTACCTTTTGGACAAATCGGTGATTCCCCACAGCAGAATATGCATCTCCAGAAGGCAAGGATGTTGGCCAGTGTAATCTAACCTTTTCACTTTGGGACTGCAACAAAACAGGCTCAATTAGTAGCAGTCAGGTGCTACTTGGTGGACTATGAAACAGTGATTCATCCTCAATTGACACAGTGCATACAACTAATACTGTGCATGACAGGCATGAAGCTGTCATCCTGATGGAATTCTCAGTAAGTGAATGGGCCTGAAGGCTGAATTTGTATTTCAAGGTGGGATTCTGAGTTAAGGAGAACAGAGAGGCGATGTTAAAGTTCCATCTAGTAGTAGTATAACAGTCACTCAAAACTTTCACTCTCCACTAAGGGAGTCCAACACAGATAAACACTGTTGGATTTCTCCACTGGAAAGCCTTCTAACTCTTAACCAAGCCATTGTATTCACTTTATTCATAAGCCAAAAACGTTTCTAAGAGAAAACATGCACACTTTGTTACTGCCTCTCGTTTTATATACTGTTGCACATTCTCATACTCTGTGTATTTCCTCACATGCACCTTCTTGCTTTTTGTTCCTTGTCACTGGAGTATATTCAAGAAATGAGTTACAGAAGTAGCCAGAGCCTAGGTAATTTTAAAATAAAACCAAACATCAGCAGAACTCTTGTCTTTTCTATTTCACATACTGCTAGAGTCAAATGAAATTTCAGAACAGTAATTAGGTTTTGAGAAATAGCTGCAGTGTTTGATATTCTTACCTGCACAGGGCAACAGCGACATACAACGGTAAGTTTTATAGATGACATTTACTTAGGAATTAGAAACTACAAGACACTCCGTTACCTTAACACTTATATTATCCTCTTCTGTGTAAGCTGTGAAGTCACTTTCTCAAAATTAGTGTCAAGCAACAATATTTAACTCTAAAAATATTAATCAAATTCCCCTTATCAGTGTCAGAACATCTAGAGCTTCAGGAGATGCACCGCTGGACTGAGTTTAAGTCACAGAAGTCTCCCATGATGTTCCCCCATCATTAAGACAATTTTAAGTATCAGTACCTGTTCTTCCATTTTATCCTGTCTATCGAGAGCAGCTTCAACAGCATCAAAGAATTCTTCTTCATTAATCAGACTATTAGGACCCTCCTAGGGCAAAAGGAACAAAACTAGCTCAAAATTTTGGAGACATGAGAGTCCTATTTTGGTTTAATATTAGAATTACATATTTTTATATGCATGTAACTGGTGAAAGCAAATTTCTTCTATAGGCCTCAAACCTTTTCATCAATATTCTTAGATGACGAACCCTCTGAAAACCATACTTGTTAAAGGAAGTTACTCTCTCTAGCTACAGTTTAGGGATGGCTGTATAAAGAAGAAAAAAAACCAGGAAACTGAGTAACAGTGTCAATATGCTCTGACATCCGATTTAGGTTTTAATTAACATATGTCTTCTCTTAAAAAATGTTTACAGCGTGTCAGCAAAGTACACATATTAACATAATTGTGTAGTTAGATTCCTTCCAAGTATTCCAGTGCCTTAGGGCAGATTTCAGACGTACTCAAAATATAACAAGAAAACACAATTCTGGGGACGACTATTGAAAATTCTTGGAAAGAATAATTTAACACTAAACAGCAGGCACAGTTGAGTCAACTATTAAAAACCTGAGCCTCCTAAGTAAATTAGTAATTTCAGAAAATCAGGTTTACTACTTTTACTGTATTGTAAAACAAGCTAGTCCAGCAAATTTCAACAAACTACCTCACAACAAGGATACCTGGGAGAAGCAGCTGGGTTCATAATCAGGTAGAAAAAGCCCAACTTCCTAACCATCTTTTTCTTTTACAGTGTATGCCTCAGTCAAAGAGAACCTATGCTCAAGTATCTTTTAAATATCTCAACATATTGGTACTATTTCTCAGGCTATGATTTTTAAGTAGAAACATGTTTGATTAACGTACATGAAAGGGTCAAGTCTTAAAAACTATGCAAATGGTATTACAGGTGTGTTAGAAACCCCATAAGGTGGTTTAAGCATCTTAGAATTTTACTAAATGCCTCACTGAGGAGGAAGCCACCAAAATATGCAACTTAGGAGATTAAAAGAACCTGAAATCACTGAATTTGTGAAGACAATTTGACATGACAGTGAAAAGTTAAAAATTAATTCAAGTTAAACTTCTGATTCTATGACTGCCTCTGCAATCAGAGTTTTTATATTTGGTTTACACATCTATATAGCTGAATCACTAAAAATGCAAAGTACAAGACTAGTTCATATAAACAGTATCAAATGTACAAGAAACAATAACAAACCAGCAGAAATATCTGTAAGCAAAATGCTCTAGACAAAAATAGAACATGGAAGCCTGACATGAATACAGACTTCCATTCTTAAAAAAAATCAGTGACAGATTCTTCATACATTCTTCAGTTTCCAAGGTGGAAAAATAAAAGTGGCATTAACACGCTTGCACAAACCAAACACCTTCATTTACAATGCCCTCCCCCCACTTAAAGAAACAAAAGATTATTTAAAAATTGTAACATTTTTAAACATTTCAAAAGCAGGTTCTGTACCTCATAGTCTGGCCCTCCAAAGTGGGACTTTTTCTTCAATTCTGTCAGAGCATTTTTGTATGCTTCCTCAATTCTTCTCCTCTTCTCTGTCTCCTGTGAAATTACATGATCATTTGATGCAGTAAGAATGAATTTACTGACAGTAGTCAACATGCCAATCAATGGAATGATGAATATTGGGTTTTTTTTCCAAGTAAGAATTGCAGAGCTGCCAATGTTCTGAATTTATTTGCACGCATGCATTGTAGGTGCCCATATCCATGCGTATATAATACAAAGCCTGGGAAGTTAGCTACCTTGAGCACACAGTCTTTAATTCATGTGGAAGAAACAAGATCAGCACACAAAAACTGGCATCTAGTTTAACCACAGGTATTCATGGTTCACTGAAGGTCAGACTTTGTATCTGATTGACAGTGACATAAACCTCGATAGAGATGTTTGGGCAGTGATAAAAGAGGGTGAAAAGTAAAACTGGGGAGGAGCTAACTTGTTGAATGTGGTGAGATAGTAATGAGTCACAGCATGCAAGTTTGTACCTATAATAAGCTGGTGCTGGATCAATGTGAATCATTTTGTCAGCTCCATGCAGTGACTAACAGCTCAACACCATTCTCCCATAATAGGCGTGTGACTACACTGGAGCCACTAATGATGCCTATATCATATACTTTGAACAAAAATGTAGCAGTGCCAGAATCAAATTAAATCTAATTTCCTCTGTAAATTCTACATACTGACAGATCTTCTCCATGAAAAAGCTATAAACACTTCTGAAATTCTTGCAGAATTCAGCTTTAGTATGTAAGATGTTTCTCTGTCCCCTTTCAGAATCACTTCAGGTGGAAGAAAGCTAATATTTATGGGTGACAACTGGACACCACACACTACTACTTCCAGATATAATTATTCAGCAACTCAATTTGAACTTTAAAGATACAGTGGAAAGCCCTGAAGCAATACTGAAAGGCTCAGTTTACCAACTGGGAATTTGGTGATAAGATTCACTCTGGCACACATTTTCCAGTTTCTACAGAAAAGTTTGAAAATTAAAGCAACAGCTTAGATGTAAAACAAAGTAGTATAGTTTTCCACAGGAAAATTCTTAGGTAAAAAAAAAAAAAAGCATGCAGATGAAGACACTATTGCCTTTACTTGTGAATGTAGGGCTTAAAAAAAAAAAAAGAATTTGCATGTATAACTTTTAAAAAATTAACTAGAGAGTCATGAAGATGCATAAAGCATGTCTTCATGTAAGTCCTTAAGAGAAAACATAGACTTTTTACAAGAACACTTGGAATGAAAAACAAACAAAAACTTCACTGAAACACAACTCCTCTTTCCACTCATCCCAAATCCTCACACTTTTGGTACTTCAGTCTGCAAATTAGTGATAATTTACATGTGTCAAAAGACAAGTCTTCAAATCTGCCTGGTTCTCTTGGCAACAACATTAAATAAGGCAGAAATCGGAAAACTGATTGCACACAAGAAAAATTACTGGTGTATTAAAATGCTGTAAAATTTATTAAGATATTTAAGTTACAATTGTAAAAAATAAAATAATCTATATAAACATATTAATCTTAAGGTTAAATTTCACATTAACATTCAGAAGGTAAGTTTGCTCATTAATAACAATTAGTAAGACCAAAGGAAACAAGAATAGAAAAATGCTGCTGTAGTCAAGACAACAAGAAAAGCATCACAAGGATTTTGTTGCAAATAAAACAATGGACCAAAAACTAGAGATTAAATCCTTTCTCTGTTTATCCATTTTGAGAGAAGTCAATTTTAAAATACATTCATGAGATCCTACTGAAAAATATACTGAAAAATAATAAGCCAAGCTCAAGATTTAACAGTTAAAAGGTTGAAAGCAGAGCTGTAACTAAAATTACCTTTAGATAACATTACATGCTTTTGTATTAATTTTATTCTAGCCATCTGACTGGTTAGCTAACAAAAAGAAAACTAAATATAGAATTCTAAAATTACAATTTTTAAGTCTATTATTTTAACAGTCTCCTTAAAAATTAAAAGCCATTTTTATAATAATTATTTTCAAAGGTTTAGAAATAGTTTCCAACCACTAGATTTTAACTGCAAACTATTTCTTTTATTTAGAAAAAAAGGAGGTGTTATAGAGAAAGATACTCACTTCATAACACTGTACTCATTTCTAGTCAAACTGAAGCCACTTCCAGATTCAACAAGTTCTACTGACCTTGAGCTTTTTTAATATGAGAGGGTTTTTTTAGGACAGCTGTAATTTTGAAACTTACTTGCTTCAAACACAGCAGACACAAATCTATCTTGCACCTTTAGGCTAAACTAACCTCTTACAAGATGGAGGCTATATAATTTTGTGAGGCTTGAGACCAATCACCTTAGCGTGTTGCTGTTAAGTAAAAGGCAGTTCCAAAGCTAGTGGAGTGAAGAGGATGGAGAGGAAAGTGAGGTGGATTACAGTGGTACTTATACTACTTGTAAAACACTCATTGATTTTAGCTACTGACAGATCCTGTTCTTCCTCTGACAAACCCAGAGAGCACAGAGCCAGGGACATGAATCTCCTGACACAAAGGATCACTTGATGCTATCCCTTTCAACTCTGCTAGATGATGGTCTTTTAGAGTCTGGCACTAGACAGAATTGTAGGAGCTCTAAAACCCTCCCAGGGGCTTTACAAACACAAACAGCTGCCAAATTTCATGTAATTTCCCCCTCTAATCTCTCCTAGAGAAGGTATTCTGAACTTTATCTTACAATATTTACTGCCTTTTCAGGGCAGTTTACACACCTATTCAAGTAAAGCAACAGTGCACAGATCAACACCATTCTCCCCCCACTTCTATTTATCAGATGACAGAGCAGTGTTTTTTGCCCAGGCCCCTAGTTACAGAGGAAACGTGAAGGCTGGAAAAGGAGGAGGAGCAGCTCCACGGCAGAGAACATATCAACATCGCAAGCTATGGAGGACCTCGTGCTAGAGCAGAGGGACACTTCCACTTCCCAACTGTGTCCTGTGAAGGACCTAAAATGCAGCAGATTTTTCCCAGAGGACTGTTGCCCATGGAAAGCATCTTCACCGGATCAGTGAAGAAGTGTGAGTAGGAATGAGTGGCAGAGATGAAGGTGTTTTGGACTGACTGCAACCTCCCCATTCATCACTCTGCACTGTGTGGGGCTATCGAGTAGCAGGTAGAAAGTCCTGCAGTGAAGGACTGAAGCTGAGCTTAGGAAATGAGGGAAGAAACCTGTTTTAGGGTTTGTCCCATTAACTAGACCTATTTTAAATCAGCAACAAATTGATTTTCCCCAAGTCAAGAATTTATTGCCACGACAAGAACCAGCAAGCAATCTCCCTGTCTTTCTCTTCACCCATGAGACTTCTTATTCTATTTTTACCCCTGATCCTGCTGAGTGGGTGGTGAGCAGCTAAGTGGACATTTAGCTGTTAGCCAAGACAAGCCCCCTATACTTCTATATTATTTAATTCAATAAAAATCTCTTCCAGAAGGCTAGCAACTAGATGAATAAAAATTAAAAGCAATTCTTTCATATTAGAATGAAAGTGCTTTACCATCAGTATGCTGAAAATTTAATAGACAAATGTGACTTTAAAAAAAGCTGAAAGTCTACCAAAGCAAAGCAACTTAACACCTGCAAAGTTTTACAAGGTCCTATTTTAATTTCTGTAAATACATGTGAAAATAAGCTTATGACTTGTTTTAAAATGTATTTGCCCATGCAATATATGGTATCAGTCGCATGAGGCCCAAAATGAAATTTAGGTTTGAATTCAATCACTTGCAGCTAAAACCAAGTGCTTTAGTTACCCCACAGAAGAATAAAGAAGTTACACGACTAATGCAAATGAATTATAGTTCTGTATTAACATATTGTTCTGTATTAACATATACTAACCTACGGGTAAGAAAAAATCACTTCATCCATCCTCTAAGCAAAGTCTCATCAACAAGAGTGAGTGAACTGTGTTCACTCAGCCCAGAGAAGAGAAGGCTTTTAGGGGGAAACCCAACAGTTGCCTTCTAACATCTCCAAGAAAGTCACAAAGAAACTGTGCCAGAATCTTCACAGCAGCCTACAGTACATGGATGAAAAACAATAGACAGATTCTGGAATAAGAGTTACTCCCATTGGATATAAGGAAAAACTTCATCACTCTAACAACAGCTGAGCAACAAACAGGCTGCCCATAAAAGCTGTGCAGTCTCCAGCCTCGGAGACTTGAACCCAGACCTGATAAAGCCATGACCAACTCTGATGTCAAACTGTCCTCCTTTTAAGCAGGAGGTTGGAGAGAGAGACAGAGGCCTCTTGAGGTCTCTAGTGCAACCTGAATTACCCTATGAGCCTATGAAGAAGCTTCAAGTCTTGGATCTACAGTAAGTCCCTCAATTACTTAGGTAGAGTAGTAACAAATTAAGCGCTGACAGAAGTCTTAATACAGTTAGACCAGGCCAGGCCTTGGACATATGGACAAATACAACTCAAGAGGCAGAAGCAAGGACTCAGACATGGATGTATTTTGTCTCAATGCATTCATTCATTGAATCATGTACCACTAAAATATATGGGGTAAGATCTGAAGTGTGATATACACCACATGGAAACATGTTAAATGAAGAACAAGGGACAACAACGTCTAGAGGACTGTACAGGACACCAGCCAGTGATGGCAAGACTCTAGAAATGAAAGCCTGAAGCAACAACCTAGCCATTCCTCCAGCACATATCAAGAAAGAAGGCAGTGCTCTTTTTGCATTGCTATAGTGGTTGAGCGGGATTAGCACAAACTAACGCTGTCATTACAAGAAGTTATTTTAATACCACGAAGTGAAAAATTGTAATGAATTAGTATAAATCATTACTTAATTTCTTCAATCTCCAAAAGGAAAGTGAAATCACTCTATCTTAAAGAGATATTTGAAGTTAGAACTGTTTGTTTTACCCAGTACTGTCACCATCTTTTATCACAATTAAAAACATTTTCAGGGATTTGTACATTGTTTTGCAGGCATGGAAAATTAGGTTTCTTTCAGAAGACTGCAAGCAATACGCTTCTTACTACAGAATACTGTCAAGTTCTCTATATAGCAGTCCTATATTTTTTCATATCTATGTGAATGACAGTTGGGAAAAGAAAGACTAAGATGAATTATGTTACTATACCATTAGTCAAGATGAGGCTTTAACATTTTATAGTAGTAATAAAAGCACCTAAAATTAATAAATGTTGTACATAAAAATAAAAGCAACAACTGAAAGTTAACAATAGCTGATCTGAAATTTCAAGTTAAAGAAACTTTTTTTTTTTTTTTTAAGGAAAAACGATCTTACCTTATCTAGTCTTTTTTGCCAGCTTTCTTCACGTTTTACCATGAGTTCAATGCAATGAGAGAGTGTAGCAAGGATGCCAGCAGTTGTTGCCTTGAAAGTTATAGCTTCTCCTTTAAAGTCTATGCCATTAATTCCTTTGGGTGTCACGTGTGGAAACACTAAAAGTAAACATGAATCATTCACTGATAGCTGCCTTTAACTCAAACAAGCGTTTTACATGCATGCTTTATATAACAACTCCTTAAAGAAAACAGACTGGCTGAAAAGTTAATTTAAAAATGAAAATCAGAATTGCTAATTATTTTCAGCTATCCACGGGATAACAAAAGAGGTTCAAAGGGAAGAATACGTCCTTTCAGCTTCACTTTGCTGTACTGTATTTCAAGTCTGCTTGTAATGCTGTATTACTCTGCACTCTGCAGATCATGTAGGTGGAGGGAGTGGCAATACCTTGTAACAATAGCAGATAGACAGCTCGAAGTGTGCCCTAATTAACACAGAGCAGCCTTAAAACATATCTGATACAGCACTAGGAGGAAAAAACTTTCAAAATGCAATCAAGCCCAAAAGGTAACATTCAAGGTTGCTTTCACCAGGTAATTATACATTTAAAAACCTTCAAGTAGAAAGATATGATAGGAGTTAAAAGTATCAAATGTGCTGAATTACCCAAATTCTGTGGGTTTTGCAGTTCCAGCAACTACTTTGTGCTGTCAACCAAGCCATCTGTTGCTAAGGCTATTTAAACAAGTCATTTAAAATGTGTGACAAAAAAAGTACACATTATATGTCAAACTCATACATAGGTTGACATAACAAATCAAACACTACACATTAATGTCAGAAAATATTAGAAAGCAGAAGTAACACTCATGTCGAAGCTGACTGAGCCCAGCAAGTTAAAAGTAACTCCTGCTATGCCACAGGGCAAGCTAATGACTTATCACCTAGCTGGATGTCACTTTTTTTCCCCAGTCTGTCAACATGCTACTGCTACAGTTTAGAAAGCACAAATAAATATTTGTCTAAGTTTATCCAGTATTTGTCTGCAAAGGCAAAGCAGAGCTTTCAAGTAGTTCAGTTCTTGTAGGGAAGAGAATTGCTGTTCTTTAATGACAGACCACAGTATCCACACTTTGGGAGCAGGAGGCAGTTGACACACAGTCTTAAGCAACAGTTTAAGTCTCCAGAGGTTTGAAATGCCCTCCTTTCAGGAGTCAAAACTATTTTTCAAATGGATCATATTACAGTCAATATACTACTTCAAACACCTCAACAAGCACACATACTGTGGTAGAATACTGCCTATTTTTTTGTTTCATGTTAATCAAGAATATTCCCTAAAAGGTAAAGATGATGGGGGCTGGAGAAAAAAAAAAAAATAAGAGAAAGAAAAATCTGTTTCAGAAACAATGATCAGAGCAGCTCTCCCACCCCCTAACAGCTGCAGAGGGAACACGGAGGTGGCTGAAAGTGGTAGAAGCTGGCAAGAAGTCAATGCAAGTAGAGTCACTGAGAATAACGAAAAATAAACAAGAGCTTCACCTATAACACTTCATGACTGAAAAATACAGTTGAGTAATGATTGGTCCTGGTGGTGAAGACTGTGTTCATGCGCAGGCTTACTAGCACACCTATAATACTGATAGATGTGATTTTTTTTCTCTTAATTATGCAACATGCTAGACATGCTTAACAAACCACCACTGGCTGCAACACTATCAAATAATTTCTGAAACCTCTATGGTAGATTTCAAGAGAGATATAGGGTCATTTCCCAGAAAAAAACAGAACAAACAAACAAAAAAAAACCAAAACAAATGAACAAAAAAAAAACCACACCACACAAAACACCACAAACAACCAGCAGCTTTTGTTCTTGTATATCTTTAGGTCTAGGCTACAGTTCATACAGTTTCAGTCATCATATATTCCAAGTTATTCCTTCATAACTAGTCTCAAAGTTGCAGTGATATGTGCAGAGCTTGCAGTTTTAAAGTCAGTGTCCATAGCTCCTTTCAGTCCTTGTAATTCTGGGCAAAACCAAACCTGTTGCAGAAAGATGCAAATGCTTTTTCATTGAAGAGATGGTCACTCGAGAGATTCCTTATAATAGATGGGAGTATTTTGATTCATTCCTAACCAAAGGAGACATTTGTCTGACTTCTGGAAAATGTCAGAAGATGACCTCAACCCTTGTCTTGGTAACAGCTGAGCTTCAGCACATTAGAAGCATTTTTCAAGAGATTTTTCTGTTTGGAGAGCCTGAATATCAATCCTATTCCTTTTTTAAACTTTTTTTCTTTTTCAGGTCAGATACAGACTGAGCGTTTCAAAATAGCAATCTAGCATCGGAAGATCTATATTGTTCAAGGTAAAGGCTAATAGGAAAGTGTTCTTACCACTGCAACTGCTGTTCTAGCTTGGTTATCAAACTCCACGCACCTAACTGAAAAAAGCAGCAGGAGGATTTTTCTCCTATTTCAACATCTTCCAAGGGATTCCTCTTTAATTATCCTGTCTTTTAGTAAGTTTGCTTTATTTCTGGTTTTCTCTTGCCTTTCATATGAAGAGTTCTTCATGCCATGCTTTAGACTTCAACAGCTCTCTAACCCTTCTCTCATACACCTCTGTGTATGTCAGGATAGGTCAGTTTCCCTTTTTGTCCCCAAGGCCGTTTGTAACACTTCCCTAGATGTCCCAAACATCATGTGTTTGATCAAACTGTTTTTTCAGTGAAACAGAAAACTATTTTAAAAATAGGAAGCAGAAAGAAGTTCCTTTATCTTTTCCATTTTATGCCAGAATAACATCTTAGGTCATCAAGCTAATTCTAAACAAAAACTAAATATTTGAGCGTGTGACCCATTTACTGATACCCACTGTTGCTCATATTCTGTGGACAGCAGTAGGATTAATATGACTAGTTTTCCAACCCCATTATTTAATCAATATTTTGGTGAATACTCTTCCTCCATGCAAAGCACAAAAATCTAGCACAAATCCTACTGTGTTTTACATCAAATCTGTCCCTTTCAGCCTCTGTACTGTTTCCAGCTTCATAGGTCTAGTACACGAACGCCTTCTATCTTCAAAGCGATTCCTTAAATAGGTTTCACCTCGTCTACCTATTCTTACATAACTTAAATCCAAATATATTCATTTTCCTGAGTGGATGGATGGGAAAACTTCCTGATCAAGATTCCACATTATTAGAATTAAAGTTCCCAACAGGTAAATATGCATCAGCCACATTCTCCTTTGGCATTTTATACAAATGATCATTACTTCAGTTACCAGATTTTTTAACTGGAAAGGGACTAAAAAAATTTAAATATGTTCATAGTACTCTTCCCCGTTTTTCCTTCAAAAATTCTAGGGAACATAGAAAATAAAAAGCCTCCTTATCAGAGTGGTACACAAATCAATATACTCATGTTAACTTTATCCTCCCCCCTAGGGGAGATGCAAAAAGGAATAAATTTCAAAAGATAATATGAATATGGTTTCTCAAATCAGTCTTAAATCTGATGATTTGAGCATTAGATTGGTGCATTAGTGGTTTGAACAGTAGGCTCAAACACTCCTCCTCCTTATCATAGTAGGCTAAATAAGCACCTGAACCCATGCTTCTCCCTTCACAGACCACCAACTGTAGAACAGTCCCAGAATAAACAAACAGACAACCACTTCTCAGCTACAGTAAAAGATAGCTCCAGTTCTAGAACAGTTCAAGAAGTAAGTGAACCTTAACTCTGGGAAACCAAAAGAATCTTAACAGCAGTTGTAAGGCTAATATTTAGAAAACAGCGAGATTGAAAATAAATGTTTCATTATCAGCTAGGCTGAATATTTTCTTTGCCTGATATACAGGCATGGCTTTCTCGGCCCGAGACATCTACTTCGCCCACTGCAACACTTATGTTTCCACTTTAGGAAAGAGACTAATTTTTCCTTTCCAACCAAATTTGCAGCACTCAGATATTAAATATTTAATGGACTTAGCTATTAGAAAGCAAACTGAGGCACAGAAAAAAACAAAATGGAGATAAAGCTTTTCACAGAAATAACTGATGGAAAGTAAATTTCATGGAATCAGGAATTGAAACAATTGGACTTTTAAGTTCTGTAAACAGCAAGAGGTTGCAGAAATTATGTTCTGCAGTGAGCTATAGTAAGTGAGTTTATATACAGGCATCCATAATATGTAGCAATTTCTTAGCAGGTAAGCTCCCAAAGACCTGGTAGAGAACTTTTTAAAAGAGTAATATGAATATCACTTCAAATTCCTGTTAAACAGGTGATAAAAAAATGAAGTCACTTATTTCGCATTTAGATATTCTAAGATGACCAGATATACTAAAAATATAGACTTTCCTAATGACATTCTCCATATTGTATGTGTATATATAGCACATACACCAGAATAATATAGATATGAAGAAATGTTCTAAAGGTAAATTAAGCTGAAACTCCCACATGATCCTACAAAAATTAAGTTTGCCGAAGACATCTCTTTCAAAATGAATCACGCAGGAAAATGAATTTCTCAACATTTTTAAAAGAAGGTTCACAAAGTTTTCTCAATTTTGTTCGTACCTAACAGTCCTCAAAAAATGTACACTTTTACATACACAACAGGGTTAGCAGAACTGGGCATTTACAGGTGAGTGTTGCAAGCTTGCTTGTCTTTGGTGAGAAGAGGCAAGAAAGATTTATTCAAAACTTTATAAAGTTAAATGCTACTTAACATCTGAAATCAGCATTACGACTAATCCTTAGTAGAGGATGCACTTCACATAACTGAAAAAAATCTACTTGTCTAATGAAGTCTGGCAGTATCCTGAAATTTCATTTCCTTTTCTCTTTCCTCATAGCCCAGCTGCAGCTATACTCTAAAAACAGGACTTAAATAGAGGAAGGAAAGTTGTAAGATGGCAGGACAGTAGTCAAAAAGAAAACAGAAGAAAAAGAAAAGATGTATTATGCCAATCTGTTTTCCAGTTTCTTGACAGAATTGTTTACATTTTTAAGAACTCTATCATTGAATACTTTGGGAAATTCCATCAGATCTGAAACTGGAGATATTGCAACTTCAAAGTTTTGTGAATCAAAGTCTGAGAAATATCCCAGAACTAACTGAACTGGTAGCATTTAAAGAACATAAACAGTAAAATATTTCAGCCAGGGAACAAGAGAAAGTCTAAGAAGAATGCCCATAGATTTTAAATGTAAACACAACTTCTATCTCATTGGAAATATCACATTTCTAGAACAGCAAGACCTGCACAAATTCTTCACATTTCCTGCATGGATACTGGAGTGAGTATAATAAATAGGCCATAAATCAGTAATGGTGTTGACTTAATCATTATGTAGCCACAGGACCTGGAAAAAACATACTGGGACATACATCTAAGTGCTGGGGTTAAACCCCCACCCCTGAATGAGGGTTGGCATATGGATGATGTCCACAACCAGACAAGTAAGACCCTTCTGCCTGCTTTTCATCCAGCCTTGGATGGGAACTGATGAGGAGATCACCACAAGGTGCCCCTGCCTTCCACATTAACTTGGAGGTGTTGCAAGAAGCCACCTCCGTAAGAGCTGACTCTGCTTGCAGTGGGGTTGTGAAGTTTGCGTACAAGCTGTGTGGGGATGCCAATTACTGAAAGGGCTCCCAGACTCTTCATAGCACATAGAGCTCCCAGGATGGTGGAGCAAGATCATGAATTTTTTGTCTGGGACTCATGGCCTGGCTGATTCCATCTCCCATGGCTTGGATCCTTGGCTGGCTTGCTCCTTTCTGTACATCCTGTGTCATGAGTAAATGTCTTGACTTATTCCTCCCTCCAGTGGTCTGGCACGTTGGATTGTTAGTGAATGATTTAAGACCAGAGGGAGGACTTTGGCTCTTGGTTTGCCTGTTGATCCTTCCTAGCTGGGCAAGCAGTCAGCAGAAGAACCTGACTGGAAAAGCATTGTGCTCCACTTCACTCCTAAAGCAGGTAACACTTGCAACAAAAACGACAAATTACCTGCAACAGATCTTGGTTCTTAATAGCTAAGTGATGCAGCCTTTTTATCAGAAATTTGTAGTGAAAACACCTCTGCACACAGAATAAGAAATTTCTGCCTAACAAGCTTGCATCAATGTTTGTGTGAAGTTAGAAAAATTCAGACAATCATGAAAAGCAGCTAATGAATAATAACATGAATTAGAACTTCCTGTCACATACATTAAACTAACTATTCTTGATGTTTTCTGCTTAGAAAAGAGAACAAATACTTGTATCAGGCTTATCATCATACCAATCACATGAATTTTCACTGAAAAGGTGGGACACTTACATTTTTCCTTACTGCTGTTACTGTTATGCAAAAATTCCCCATCAGAACGCACCGTAGGGAAATCATCTTCATCATCTTCTACCACTAAATTTAAGAGAGAGTGTGTTATGAGAGTGAGAAAGCTTTTCCAATTCCTTAGTGTGCAAGAAAAAATTCAGAGCATCTTCATGGCTAAGCAGCATTTAAGATTTTTTCCTGTAACAAGTCATGAACACACCTCCTATCTTTTTTCTTTTTTTTGACCCAAGACCACTATCACCAGTACTGTCAGAAATCATCAGGACATCAACAGTGTTGAAGTTTAGTGCTTGATTCTATAGCAAGAAAAACATTTTGGTGTTACACCTGGATAAGAACAAAGCCATGTTCAGCAACTATCTGCTCTTCTACACTAGAAAGTTTGCAAAGAAGTGGAATTAATTGTCCTTATCGACCAGTTTTTTACTACCAAAAGCTTTAGGCTGCCAGAACAAACCCAGGGATAAATGTAAATGTCTGAGGAGAGTGCGTGGATATGACAACAAGCTGTGCTCTGACAAAAGCAATTTAGAGATATGTAGACATCCATACCTGGGTCTACTAGGGCCTCAAGTGTGCACTCAGTGCTCTAGTTCCAGCCAACACATCTCAGAAACATTAATTATGGCAGCATCTTTGATTTTTTTAAAGAATGTATTGCTTCTATCAAAACTAGTATTTTTTTTTCCCAAAACAAAAGGTATGACACACAGTGATAAGCTAACTTGGATTCATTTTATGAGGGTAAACAATTATCGTTCTATCTAAAAGAGCATTTCTTTTGTGCAGTTGACAGCTACAGGTTAATAGTGTTAAGCGGTTTTTACTGGGAATTCAGCTTCTGAAGTGAAAATAGGTAACACTGTTTATGCAGAAATATCTGTGGTCAATCCCTATAATAAAGAGTAAATTCAAACTCATATTTTATTTATGTGGCATCAAACGCTCTAGTAACTATTTCAAGAGCTATTACTGTGTAAAAAGCTAAATTGCTATGGACATGAGTTTTCAGTTACAATTTTACCTTTATCCCTCTGGAGTTCATCTTTGGAAACTGCATCTGCACAGGCATCGAAGTATTTCTGCAAAGTATCAACTTGTCTACACAAGATGTCTCTGAAAGTTTCCATTTCTGCAAGCTTCTCCCGTAAGCTATGGCCCTTCTGAAAACACAAAGGGAAAAAGCATGAAATGCTTTTTCAATACTCAGCAATTGTTCAATGCATAAATAACCCCCCCCGGATTTCTGCAGCTTTGAAGAACAAATTCAACTGAGAACATTTTAGTTATCAGAAGCTATGAAATACTGTTAATATAGCACTGCTAGATTAATGTAAGAAACTGTATTCAAGTGCTCCTTACTCATCTTGTCCACTCGTCTCATTTCTTCTTCTTGACTGCACCTGCTACTTGAGAGCATTTAACAAAAGCTTATTAAAATTGCAATCTTGCACGCTACCAACTTTATGCTTATTTGCGTGAAAACAGTGTTAGTTTCAGATCTTTCTTCCAATCTTTACTCCCCTTTCTTGTGTTGCTCCTCTCCTGTTCTCCCAGAAGTACAGCCCACCCAAGTAACTGTGCATAAATATCTAGCATACGAGACAAGGAAAGCCATAATTTTTCTATCAGCATTAATCAGATTAATTAAGTCACAGAATCAGCATTGGGCCTCTCTTTTCATTTAAGAGGCCCTGATATTCTGAGGAATAAACTAGGAAAGGTAAATAAATGCTCCCACAGGTTTGGTTTTCTTGCCATTGGAAGGTTACACCACAGTTTAAAAGGGACAACTGCACAGAGGCATGAGTGAACTTCCTGCATGATCTGCTCATACTTAAGAGTAAACCAAATATTTTGTTCTTTTTCTATGATTCATTTGCCAGTTACATGTGTTATTTATGCACCAGTACTGTGAAAAAATACTTTGCAAACTAACCTTAAACGAAGAGGTTGATGTCGCAGAGTACCCGCTGGCTCCAGAAACAAGAGACACCATGGAGCCATGGCGTCGTAAACTTGACTCTGATCCATAGCCTGATTCAGTCTGAAAAACAAACCAGACACAACACTAGAGTGCTGAGGCTTTTAATAAAAGCTGAAGTCATGAAAGCAAGATTAATGTAATTTGCTCTGAAACCAGTCCACTTGGTTCTTGTCAGGAAGCAGCAAGTGCTTAATAACTCAAATTGCCCTTGCATGTTTAAGATGTTGATGAAAATCTGTAAACTTACTATGAATCTGGTTTCTGTTATCCTAACGATCGGTAAAAAAAATTAGTTATCCACAAACCATTATGTGCCACCAAAAGAAAAAGGCAATGTATTTAAGGCTTCAAAAAAGGCACAATGTTCCATTATTTTGGTTTATGTAATCCCTACCAAGCTATTTTCACAGTGTTCAAAAACCTACAGTACTCTACCATTAACCAGGGGAATGACATGGTTCAGTTTGAGGACAATAAGCCTCAGTCAGTCCTTCCAATCATGGTGCTATTTTACTTTTGAATGCAACAAAACAGAGATCAGAGAAGAACAGTTAATTACTTCTGCCAAGGTTTTTTTTCCTACCTGTTGCACACTTCTTTAGCAAAATTCTTTATATGAGACTGAAATTATTTTTTACAAGAACAGAAGTCTACATAGAACAAGGTGAGATACTAAAAGCAGGAGTGAGAGGACAATAATAGTAAATAATTAAATAATGAAAGGAAAAAAGGAAAAAAGGAAATAATCTTTGTAGTAAAATAACATTAAAACAAACTAAAAATACAAAGTATGAGAAATTTCTTCACAAATGAAACAGCAGCAGATAGGGAGGAACTGGCATAAAAATATTTCCCAAAAGGTTAACAATAAATGTCATATGCATGGCTGAGGAAAATAAAAACCCTGAAAGAGAATGTAAGAAATAAAGGGAAGGTTCAGAGTAATATTTGAAATACTGTTAATAGTTGAGTTTGATCAAGTAGACAGGGACAACATGTGAAGGAATGGCAGAAATAAGACATTCTGCAGTGGCATAAACATTCAGATGGGGCAGGGAGAAGGGGAGAAATTCTATCTGTTGTACATTTTAAGGAAAAATTTGAAACCATATAGCTTTTGGGAAAGCAGGAGAGTGCTGACAAATTAAGATGCAAATGAAGTTGCAGAGTATTAAAAGCAAGGACAAAGGACAAAGAGTTGTTTGACATGTTGGTTAAAACAGGAAGATTTGGGCAATACTGCAATGAGTGGACAAAATATGCACGTTTGGGTTACAAAGGACCAGTCACAGAGAAGTACACTTTTAAGGAAATGAAGGTATGACTGAGAAGAAGAATGTGAGTCCCAGAGTTGTCAGCGTATTTCCTGAATGAACATGAGTGAAGGAGACATTATCCAGCAAAACCAAGCAAGAAGGAGCCAGGAGTCAATTTCTATCTGGCCCATTTAAAGAATGAGCTGGAAGAAAAGAAAGCATTGATGGAACATAAGAGAAGTGGGATGAGCATCAAAAGTAGAAGAGAAATTGAAAAATTAATATAACCAAGAAATGCAAGTGTAGTTAGAAAATTGTACTCCTCCACAAGTCTTGGCTAAATGAAGGCTAAGTGATCATCAATTTAAAATTTTAAAAAAAGAGCAATTGTAAACGGAAAAGAATTAATAAGGCACGTCTTTAGTTCATTGCTTTGTTCAGCACAAAGAAATTAGAAACACTATAACCTATCTGAACTAGCAGAAATAGAAGTTTATTTTTAATGACAGCTGAGAGTAGAATGACAGAGTAAAAGATGTTTCCTTATTAAGTCATACAAACCATGTATTTAAAACTGTTTTCTACTGAGCAAGAGTCCTAGAAAATTAGCTACAGAGGTATAACAACCAAAGTCCTAAAAGCTCCATTTTTTTAAGAATTAGTCTTACCATATATTATAAAGCTTGGCTTTAAGGTCTATTGGAACAGGCTTTTTGTTAGACATTCACATTGGATACATGGGACCTTTTTAGATTATCAGTTCAAGTGTTGGGCAGAAACCTGGCTTTAGTAATGTATTTGGGATTTTGACCACATTTTGAATTGCAATGCAATTCAGCATAAAGATTATACCTAATTCACTGGGTTGTAATCTCAAATATAACAGAAATCAAATAATAAAGCTCTGATTAACTTCTTTCAAACACTGAAGTAAGGGCTTTTAACAATTTTTATGGACTTTAAATCCTCCAAAGGATCCTTGTAAAATCGAAGTAGGTAAGGGAACAAACGGATTTTTTTAAAGGACAAGTAAGAGTTTTGAGTATACAATTATTTAGTTCCAGAAGTATTTAAAGAGAATAAACCTCAAAAGAATATTTTTGTAAGAGTCATGCAACATTATGAAGCATGAAACATTTCTTTTAAAGATTTTCTCTAAATGCAAATCTAAAAAACCTACATTGTTTTACTGATAATTTCAGTAATTATTAAGATGACTCTGAATATGCTTTTACTAGTCAGTTTGACAGCAGGGACTCATTCTACTTTTCCTGCAAGTTGAACACACTATAAAGAAAGTAAATTTTCATTTCAATAGGATATGACTTAATGAACAGATCAATTCTAAAATGTAGCCAAAATATCCACTGCATTGAGGTCAGAGGATTTTAACTAAGGACAGCGAATGTCTTCTGATTGCATTTTCCTTTAAGTGAGAAAGACATGCCTACACAAAATGTGGATTTAAGCTTAGGAAGTGAAATTCCTGGACTTCTCTATTTGCAGATTTAATCAAAGACGCATCTTAATACTACGAGGTAATTTTAGAAAAAGAAAATCTGGCGACTTGTTTTCTACATTTGAATTAAATCCTTTTCTTTCTGTATTACACATACAGTCAGTGCGGAGTTAACTTAGTTCTCTTAATAAAAGCTGAGGAAGGAAAACAAAATCTTTCCATATCAATACATAAGCTTGATTTTTTTTTTTTTAAGGTACCCTTTCAGGAGTCTATTTGACTGTTACTTATGCTTGTGATTAATAATTCCACTAAACAGTTTATCCATGCTTCAGTGTTGTACACAAGGTAGCACAGACAGCTATCAGCTGTAAACAGCTATCAGCCTGCAAACCCTACAGATAAGAGTGCTGCATAAAAAGCATCCAGGCAGTTTTAACTATTTGCAACCAACGTGCAAATTCAGGAGATGGAACAGCACACAACATGAACCCAAAGCATTTGCAGATCACGTTCACAAGTGTCTCAGACAATGTTTTAATAGGCAAGGGGGAAAAAAGGAAAATTAGATGACGACTATTTGTCAGAAGAAACAGAATGCAAGTGTTCCTTTACAAGTGACGCAGAGAGAAGCAGCCAGCTCAGAGCAGACACATGCAGGCAGCTTAACACAAACAATGAAGGCATGCACCATGCAAAGCCCCACCATTCTACTACCGCAACATCCAAGCAAGCGCAGGTCACTGCTGCACGTATGTCTTGCAAAGCAGATCATCATTAACTATTCACTGCAGAAATACTCAATTACATTGAGAAGAGGAATGCTGACACAAGCTTCTTTCGTTTACACAATTTTTAACTTCCCAAGATAAAAATTGGAAAGGCAGGTTAAAGTCCATACGATAGAAGCTAACAGTCTTGAAAACAAGATAACTTGCAGAAGTTGTATCAATTCATACCATTACCATGCTCAGCATACAGATGCAGCTCTTTGAAATTCCATGGTAGCTTCAGAGCTACACCAAAACTGGCATTTGTTAGTACACTGCAACACTTTCATGCTTCCTAAGGTGGTACGCAAAATCTGTTAATCCTTCCAGTATGATGAACGAGAGGAAAGCGCCACATGATCGAAGCTTCACGTGATTCTTTACTGGAGCAGGTGGTGGTATCAGCAACAGGGCAGAAAGTCAGAAAGGCTGTGTTCAGTAAAACAGCTAAGTAGTCGCAGCACCATATTGCAGACCTCCATTACAGCTCATGCCCATCTGCCAGTGAAGCATTTCCGGAAGTGGGTCAATACTACTCTTGAGTAAAGCACAGAAGGCTCCTCCACACTGCCTCCACAGGAGCCTCACAGGAAGGCTCCTCCACATCAGAAAAAAATAAAAATAATTTTTGAAAAAAATCAACAAATAAAGAAAATTATTCTCCCATGTCTTCAAGGAATTAATTTTGATTATGCCTCAGTTTAGAGCCTGCCAAGCACTTTAATGTGTATTTGTCCATGGCAGATATTTTCAGCTAGCATCATAAATTATTTATTATTTTACATAACACAAGCAGCAGGCAGCTCCTCCTCTAAGGCATATGGCTCGCTCTAGGAGGTGATGAAACAGACATTAGGATACAGCCATTTTAATCATGTTCTCTGCAGTATTTGTGAAAAGTCCTGCTAAAACATCTAAGAGATCAAACGATCATAACTTATGAAGAAAAGAACGCAGAAAAAAGTAGAAACACAAAATGAAAAAGCTGGAAGGTACTATGAAAGGCTTGAAGGAGACTAAGGAGACAAGCTCTGTAAAACACCTCTGTTCCAAGGGCAATTTCTAGACTTGCTGCAAATGTTTCCACATACACTTGAAGAAAGAAGTGTTCCTGCTAGGATAAGCCATGGAAGGGCTACCTAGGGATGGGTGCAGGCAGAGCACCAGAGACACCACAGTGTGGGATGCATTTCTGAGGATTGGCATCAAAGGTACAATTAATGTGTCTGTAGGTCGGATTTTTCAGCTGTTCCATAACCACCGACAATTGAAAATTTAAGGTTTCAAAGCCAACGTAGTTATTAGCAGGAAGGCAGAGATGGGAATTTTACAATCCAGGTCACAGCAGCTAGATGATGATTCCCCTGCTTACAGCTCTCCTAAGCACAGTGCAGGAGATTACTTAGAAAGCAAAAAAGTTTCTAACATACCCTCTCTTTGCAGTTGCAAAACCAGGTAAAGAAATGTAGACCTTCTTCCTCCAACAGTGATAAATGTTGCAATTCCATAGTAAATAAGCATACTACGTGCACAGGAGGGTAAAAAAACAGGAACTCTGAGTTGAAAAATAAGACA